TTCAGACTGCATGAGAAGGTGCTTTGTATGATTTTAATCTTTTAAAATTTGTTGAGAATGGTTTTGTGTCCTAGAATATGATCTATTCTGGAAAATGATGTATGTGTGCTGGAGAAGAACATGTATTTTTCTGATGCTGGGTGGAGTGAGATTCAGCAGCATTCTCTCAAAGCACCATGGTCTCCCATCTGTGCTTTCCTCTCCCAGTTTCAGAGCCCATGAAGTCCCATGGCTACTTTGTACTGCCTTAAAAACAATTGAGCTACAGCTTTCTCAGATTATCTCTTTTTTGTGTTCCCCGTTTGACTTGATCCTAATATTAGCAAGTGCATTCTGATAGCTTCTGTGTCATCCTTGCTCCTCCTCTCCTCTTCTTCTGTACTTAATTCTTACCCTCCACCTAATCCAGTGTCGTCCAGAGTTCTGAGATCTGTCTGTGCTCATTTTCGTTCATCATTCAGTGGGGTAGTTGTTGGGAGGATGAATGGAGCATCCACTAACTTTGCCTTGCTCTACCTCCCTGAATGAACATCTTAAAAACCACTTTCTGTCTCTAATAAAGCATTGTAATACAATGAGTGGTTAGTCTTGTGGTGTTATTTTAATATTTATGAATATAAATAAGACCATAACATTTTATTCTGTAGAACCCAGACAACAATCTTATACTTGTTGGTGCTCTTCTATTTATGTGAAAGTAGAAATTCTACAAATTGCTTAATTTTGATACTGAAATGTCTTATGTTTGAGGTGATTTCAAAAGCAAATCTGTTATGTAGATCTCGGCCTTGCTAGTAGATTCAGCATATAGTCCATGTCATATGCCTCTCCTTTCCTTTTTCTTCACATCTATTTTTGTTTCTTCTTAATCTTCTAGTAATATAAGTAAATAAGGAAGCGAATTCTAATATTCTTGTAGAGCCATAAAAGAGACTTGGTACTCACATAATTTTGCAGAAAGGTGTGTAAAAACATTTTTTTTAAAAAGTGGACTTTAGAAGATGGAGTTGTAGAACATTGAATTATTTTTACTTCCTTAGTTGATTTTATTATTTTAACAATATAGATTAATCCATAAGATTTCTGGTATAAATTTCCAATTTAATATAGTAAATGACTAAAGAAGTGCTTATGTGTATATGTATGTGTGAATATGAAACTTGAAAAGGCTTTTGTCTATAGGCATCATGGTCTGATCCTGGTTTGGCACCTCCTTAACTTTTTTTTATTTATTTTATTTTTAGAGCACTGGTATTTGCATTTAATGGAGAACAAAAGATGAAGAAGAAGAACCAATATATTCATTAAGATTACATCTTGTTGCTACGAATCCTTGTGTTAAGGAATTCTGTTGCCTCTCCTTGATAAGAAGTTGATCACCTCTTCAGTCAGACTGCATTGGAGTTTACAGTAGTATTGCCAGAAGAAATCCTTGTTGGAATGTAACAGTAATTTCTATCTGATTACTATGGAAGGTGATGAACTGACACTCACTCATTAAAGTTACTTCTCACTTATCCACTGACAACCATTCTTAAAAGTGAATAGAAACCGAGCCCTTGTGAATACTTCTATTGAACATGACTCATGGAGAAGAGCTTGGCTCTGATGTGCACCAGGATTCTATTGTTTTAACTTACCTAGAAGGATTACTAATGCATCAGGCAGCTGGGGCTTCAGGTACTGTGGTCGACAGAAAGTCTGCTGAGCATGATGAGGAAGATCAGAACTTTAACATTTCTGGCAGTGTGTTTCCTAAGTGTCAGAGTAATGGTCCAGTTCTCAATAAACATACATATCAGGGATCCAGCATGCTGCATCTCAAAAAAGCCAGACTGTTGCAATCTTCTGAGGACTGGAATGCAGCGAAGCGGAAGAGGCTGTCTGATTCCATCGTAAATTTAAATGTAAAGAAGGAAGCTCTGCTAGCTGGCATGGTTGATAATGTGCCTAAAGGCAAACAGGATAGCACACTACTGGCCTCTTTACTTCAGTCATTCAGCTCTAGGCTGCAGACAGTTGCTCTGTCACAACAAATTAGGCAGAGCCTTAAGGAGCAAGGGTATGCTCTCAATAATGATTCTTTAAAAGTGGAGAAAGATTTAAGGTGCTACGGTGTTGCATCAAGTCACTTAAAAACTTTGTTGAAGAAAAGTAAAGCTAAAGATCAAAAGCCTGATACCCAACTCCCTGATGTGACTAAAAACCTCGTCAGAGATAGGTTTGTAGAGTCACCTCATCATGTTGGACAGAGTGGAACAAAAGTTTTGAGTGAACCCTTGTCATGTGCTGCAAGATTACAGGCTGTTGCAAGCATGGTGGAAAAAAGAGCTAGTCCTGCCACCTCACCTAAACCTAGTGTTGCTTGCAGCCAATTAGCATTACTCCTATCAAGTGAAGCCCATTTGCAGCAGTATTCTCGGGAACATGCTTTAAAAACACAAAATGCAAATCAAGCAGCAAGTGAAAGACTTGCAGCTATGGCCAGATTACAGGAAAATGGCCAGAAGGATGTTGGCAGTTTTCAACTCTCCAAAGGAATGTCAAGCCATCATAATGGTCAAACAAGAACATCATTAAGCAAACCAACTGCTAGCAAAAGTAATTCTGTGGCATTTCAAAGTCCAACGGGTATTGTCCCTTCTTCTCCCAAAAATTCAAGCTATAAGAACTCAATGGAGAGAAACAATGTAAAACAATGTTCTAGTAATAGTTTGCTTTTGCATCTTCTTAAGAGCCAGACTATACCTAAGCCAATGAATGGACACAATCATAGTGAGAGAGGCAGCATTTTTGAGGACAGTAGTACACCTACCACTATTGATGAATATTCTGATAACAATCCTAGTTTTACAGATGATAGCAGTGGTGATGAAAGTTCTTATTCCAACTGTGTTCCCATAGACCTGTCTTGCAAACACCGAATTGAAAAGTCAGAATCTGACCAACCTGTTTCTCTGGATAACTTAACTGAATCCCTGCTAAACACTTGGAATCCAAAAGTCCCAGATGTAGATATCAAAGAAGATCAAGATACCTCAAAGAGTTCTAAGCTGAATTCACATCAGAAAGTAACACTTCTTCAGTTGCTACTTGGCCATAAGAATGAAGAAAATGTGGAAAAAATCACCAGCACTCAGGGAGTACACAGTGATGTGACCAAGTTCAATTCACAAAGTTGTACAAGGACTTCTGTGATAGAAAGTCCTGGTACCAGTAGGACTACTCCAGTTAGCACTCCACCATTATTTACATCAACCAAAGCAGAATCCCCCATCAATCTTTCTCAGCACTCTCCAGTCATCAAGTGGAATTCTCCACCATATGCCTGCAATACTCAGTCTGAAAAACTAATGACTACTGCCTCTAACCACTTGATAGACCTTACAAAAAACAAAGAATCAGAAGTAGAGATACCATCCCAGAATGAAGGTGCACAAAACTCTGCAACTTTTAGTGCCAGTAAGCTGTTACAAAATTTAGCGCAGTGTGGGATGCAGTCTTCCATGGCGGTGGAAGAACAGAGACCCAGTAAACAGTTATTAACTGTAAAAACAGATAAGTCTATAGGTGTGATTGATAGATTAAATAGTCCTCTGCTTACAAATAAAGCGCATGCAATAGAAGAAAATAAAGCATTCAGTAGTCGGCCAGTAGCTCCTGAGCCAGGATTCTGTGGTTCTGAAATAGAAAATTTGCTTGAAAGACGTACTGTCCTTCAGTTGCTCCTGGGGAACCCCAACAAAGGTAAGAGTGACAAGAAAGAGAAGGTTCCTTTAAGAGATGAAAGTACTCAGGAACATACAGATAAAGCTTTAAGTGAGCAAATATTGATGGTGAAAATAAAATCTGAGCCTTGTGATGACTTGCGTGGTCATAATACAAATGTACACTTGAGCCATGATGTGAAAGGTGGCCCATTCTTAGGCATGGCTCAGACCACGCAAAAAAGTGCAGCTGCCTTACCGACCTCTGAGGACTTTAAATCAGAGCCTATTTCACCTCAGGATTTTTCTTTCTCAAAGAATGGTCTACTAAGTCGATTACTGAGACAAAATCAGGAGAGTTACCTGGCAGATGATCTGGACAAGAGTCACCGAAACAATGAACTGACCCTTGTAGAGTCAAAGACTCTCTGTATGGTCCCTAAGAAAAGGAAGCTTCATACTGAGCCTTTAGAAAATCGATTTAAAAAGATGAAAACTAACATTGTTGATGCTGCAAACAGTCTTAATGCTCCAGAGGTACTGTATGGGCCCTTACTTACCCAGCAAGAGCTGAAATTCAGCAGAAATGATCTTGAATTTAAATATCCTGCAGGTCATAGCTCAGCCAATGAAAGTGAACATCAGAGTTGGACCAGAGAGAGCAAAAGCTTCAATGTTCTGAAGCAACTGCTTCTCTCAGAAAACTGTGTGAGAGATTTGTCTCAACACAGAAGTAACTCTGTCATTGACAATAAAAAGAAAGGACATAAAAATAATGTGACAAGTAACAAACCTGAATTCAGCATTTCTTCTTTAGATGGACTGATGTACAATTCCACTCAGCCAACCAGCTGCATAGATAACAGAACATTTTCATATCCAGGAGTTGTAAAAACTTCCTTGAGTCCGCCTTTCCCTGAGCATTTAGGCTGTGCTGGGTCGAGACCAGAATCTGGGCTTTCGAATGGTTGTTCTGTGCCCAGTGAGAATGGACCCATTAAGTGGGTTATCACAGATGTGGATAAGAATGAATATGAAAAAGACTCCCCAAGACTGACCAAAACTAACCCAATACTGTATTACATGCTCCAGAAAGGAGGCAATTCTGTTACCAGTCGAGAAACACAGGACAAGGACATTTGGAGGGGGCCTTCATGTGCCGAAAGTGTCTCACAAGTTACAGTCAAAGAAGAGTTACTTCCCACTGTAGAAACTAAAGCTTCTTTCTTTAATTTAAGAAGCCCTTACAATAGCCATATGGGAAATAATGTTTCTCGCCCTCACAGCGCAAATGGAGAAGTTTATGGACTTCTGGGAAACGTGCTAACAATAAAAAAGGAATCGGAATAAAAAGTACCTGCTACCCAGCTTTGGATCTTTAAAAAAATAATTAGTATGAACTTGAGATCTGTATAAATAAGCATGATTTGAGGAAAAGCATGGTGTAATTGATTTTTTTTTTTTTTTTTTTTTTTGAGACGTATTGGTTACTGGTGATGTTTAAATATGCATACTACGTTTTGCTTTACATTAGATGTCATGAGGAAACTACTGAACTAGCAATTGGTTGTTTAACACTTCTGTATGCATCAGACAACAACTGTGAGTAGCCTATGAATGAAATTATTTTGTAATCATAAATAATAGGCGTAAATTAAAATGTAAATCTCCATAGTGGATCACTGCATTTTGCTGCCTTTCATACCATCACTTTATTAGCGTACTTTTTTTGCTTTTTTGAGACTCAGTTCATGTAACACATTTTTTAAGTTCAAACAATTAAGTAATTATAAGTGATTATTATTAAATAAAAGGCTTACTGCCAAGTCACTTTCATCATTCAGTTCAGTACTAAATCAGGAAAAAAAAAAACATTTTTCACTTTTGCTAAAAAAAAAACAAAAACAAAAACATTGATTTTTTAACTCTCTAAGGGTGTTTTATGGTTCCTAATGTCTCCACCTCAATCCAGTTCTTCCCAATATATTTCTTTAATACTTATACTACTTAGTGAAAATTGATTATAATTGAGGGGGAGACTCAATATATTCTTTAAGAAAGAAAAGACATTTCCATTTTTGTAATTTATCTACTTTGCTAAATTAGTAGTCCTTCTTTTACAGAATTAGGAAAATTTAAATTTATCTTCAGATGGTTTTCTGAATAGTTGAATATTTAAGAAATTGTTTTTACCAGAAGCAAAATGGATTTTCTTTAGACAGTTTTTCACCATCTCTTGTAAAACTTAATTCTCGTCACTCCTGTAGGTACTTGCCAGTCTTATAGTGAAGGTTTCTTAAAGCAGATCAGACTACCTGCATTAGAATAATCTGAAGCTCTTGCTTTAAAATGTCAGTTCTTAGGCAGCATCTCAGATGTTCAGGACAAAAATCCAAAAATCTCTACCAAGTGGACCTAGGAATTTTCCATCTGTCTCTTACCACACTCAATAGGTATTTTCTTCAACAAACTTTTCTTTACTTATGACTTTTCTCAGAACATAGACTAGGACTGTAAAAAAAAAAAAACAAAAAAAAAAACAAGAAAACTATTTGATGCTTATATTTTCCCCAACACAGTCACACATCAACTCAAAATTTACAGTATTATAGTGGTATATTACTTTTATGTCTTTGGAAATCGGGTTCACAATACTTTATATGACAAAAAAAACAAAAAAACAAAAGTGGGTGGATGGGACAACTTTCATATCTGGCTCAACATCTCAGGAAACTCTGTGATTGTTTATGCATTCTAATGAGTAACATCTACTTAATTAGCCTTAGGGTTGGGAAAAACAGGGCCACTTAGCAAACTCAGGTGATTCTAGGATGGTTTGGAAACTTCTCCTGAATACATCCTTCTATTAAAAAACATTAACTTACAAACAATTCAGACAAATATGAAAACATTTCATTCAAACCCAAGAAAGGTTATTTAAAGTAGCTAAACAAAAATAGTACAAAGGGCAAATCTACATGACTAAATTGGACACTTTCACTCAAATGGATCTATTATTTTTAAATCCTGATTAAAAATAAACATTGATTGTCTTAGAAGGACTTAATATTATTGAGCCACAAGTCCAGGTTTTCAAGTTCAGTTTTTATAATCCACAGTTCATGTACTAACTACTGTTTTGTTTTCAATTGTGAACAAGGTTAGCAACTGGCATAGCAAAAATATTATATAATCAACTATTAAGAAGAAATCTATTTGAAGTTGTTGTACTTGAAGTTGTTTCTAAGATTTTTTATATTTGAAAACAAATCGGCGTTATTTCCTAATATGATCTGAAATCCTAAATGTTTTTTTTGTTGTTGTTGTTGTTGTTTTCTCAAAATGATTTGTAAGTAGTTACCGGATGTATTATAATAGTCAAGAATAGATATTTACTACATTATGGACAGATGAAGGCATGTACTCATTCTGAAAGGAAAATTCTACAGGCCAGTGAATATATTGTACTCTCCAACCCATATTTACTTTGCAACACTCTTGTTGTCTGTGCTATAAAAATAAGCTTTTAAACAAGTTTTGTTTTGTTTTATCCCCTTGCCATTTGAAAGCTCTGGAGTCTTATAGGAAATTTTTTTTTTTTTTTTTAAGTAAAGAAGTGGTATCCTCCCACATTTCCTTGTAAAATGGGCTTTTACAAGGAAGTGAAATTTAGATCAGGGAAAAGAATAAAGACAGCGCTGATATTTTTTATTGTCTGTTTGGTTGGTAGTTTTGTTGTTTCACTTGTTAACAAAGGAATGAGAATATGTAATACATAAATAATTATGACCACAAAGAATGCTATTATGATTTACTAGGGAATGTCTCCACTTTTGAGTTAAGGGTAATTTTAAAAGAGAACAATTAGAAGAACATACATTCACAAATTCACTTTGTGTAATGCATATATAGATACAAGGATGCACATATAACAGTTTCAAGGTCTATTTTAGATATGTAGACAATTTCTTCCTAATAAAGTCATTTGTGAAAGGGTACTACAGCTCTCATTGACGTAAATAAGGTAGCATTACCTGTTTTATCTCTGCTGCATCTTACAGAAGAGTAACTGGTGAGAGTATATATTTTATATATATATATATGTATGTGTGTGTGTGTGTATATATATATATAAAATATGTATATATATACATATATATATATGGACTTGTTACATGAAGATGTTAAAACTGGTTTTTAAAGGTGATGTAAATAGTGATTTCCTTAATGAAAAATACATATTTTGTATTGTTCTAATGCAACAGAAAAGCCTTTTAATCTCTTTCATTTCTGTATATTCCATGTATAAGTGTAAATATAATCAGACAGGTTTAAAAATCGTGCATGTATGTAAACAGTTGCAAGTCTGGACAAACGTATAGAATAAACCTTTTATTTAAGTTGTGATTACCTGCTGCATGAAAGTGCATGGGGTACCCTGTGCATCTGTGCATTTGGCAAAATGTCTTAAGTCACATCAGATGTTCATCCCAACATGACAGTATTCCATTTCTGGACATGACTTCTGTTATTTAAGCTTTGTGAAAGAATGTGCTTTGAATCCAAGGGGCTTAATTTTATTTTTTATTTTTAATCAAGCCAACCACTTTTCAACATAAAGAACTCACACAACTACTTTCATGAATTTTTGAATCCCATTGGAAACATATTATAACAAGAATATTCTGGTATTAACAAATTCTGAAATACAGGCACATTACCACTCATGCTATGAATTCTAGGGTTTACACAACCAATTCTGATGCAGTGTGCTCAGTAATATAAATTGTTATTTTTCTTGGAAGTTTAATTTCTTCATATGATGTCATGAAACTGTACATAACTGCAGTGTGAATTTTTTTGTTTTATTTTTTAATCTTTTAGTGTTTACTTCCTGCAGTGAATTTGAATAAATGAGGAAAACAATTAAATATCTCAGGTTTGAAATGGCTGTTATTTTTTGGGTTCTCTCTGGTTTTTAGATTTTCCATAAAAGTCTCTGGTCATGAAAACAGCAGTAAGTTTTCAAGAATGCCTTTTTGCCCTTTAATGAAAAATAATGAGGGACAAGAGGAAAATAACAAGTTAGTATGCTCATTGGCAGGACAACTGAAGTATAGCTCAACATAACAATGTGCCTATAGTCTGGCCTCCCTAGCCTCCCCATTTTGGAGGGAATAAATGAATAATCACAGTTGAATTTTTAAGTGACAAAGAATTTTTACAGTGTTCAAATTTGATGTACACTTTAGGATAAGATTTTATTAGAAGAATTTTAGCTCATAGAAGAACGAAATTTTTCAGTTTCTTTCCAAAAATATTATACACAGAGACATATGTAGTATTTACTATACGAAATAGTTAATGGTAATAACAACACCAACAAAACCTATTGCCATCAAATCTATTCCGACTCTTTAGTGACACTGTAGGACAGAAGAACTGCCCATAAGCTTTCCAAGGCCAAACAGACTGCTCCCACAGAACAGCTAGTAGGTTTGCACAACCAGCCTTTTGGTAAACAGCCAAGTACTTAACCACTATACCACCTTTGCTCCTGTTAATAGTAATGTTGTTAAATTCTGTCAAGTTAGCTCCAACTCATGCTTTTGTTGTTGAGTGCTGTTGAGTTGGTTCTGACCCAGAGTGAACTTGTGTAGGGTTTCTTAAACAGCTGATGACCTTGAACCTCCAACCTTGTGGTTCAAACCAACTTTGCAGCCAACTCATTAACCTACAGCACCACACCAGGAATCCATGTGTGTGTGTGTGTTAGTGGAGTGCAGTGGCTCCATATAATAAGCACTGGACTACAAACCTGAAGGTCAGGGGTTCAAGTTCACCTGTTGCTCTGAAGGAGAAAGATGAGGCTTTATGCTTCTGCAAAGATGTAAAGCCTCAGAAACCTTATACAGGGTTGCTATGAGTTTGAAACAACTCAATGGCACTTGACAACATGTATTTGTAGTTGTCTTAGTTTGCAATTCTGTCTTATAATTAGTACTGCTACAACAAAATATTGTAAGCAGGATACGTTAAAGAACAGAAGTGTATTATGTCACACTCCAGAGATTAAAAATCCAAATTAGAGTCCTTCTGTGTGTCTCTTAATTTCTGGTGACTGCCAGCAATCCTTTGCATTCCATTTGCTCATAAACAAAACTCATGGGATCTGTTCCCGTGAGTGTAAGTTTGTGTCTTTTCTGCTCTTTTTATACGACAGACACCACTTAGAAGTGATTAGATTTAGGATCCACTCACTTTTGTGTGACACCATGAACATAGCAAAAGAAAATTCCTATTTCTAAAAAGGATCATAAAACAGGCACAGGAGTTAGAACTTCAGCACATTTTGGGGGAGCACAATTCAATACCTAATGGTAGTATAGACAATTCATTTAGAAAAAGGAAAACATCTCTAAGTCTTGTTTACAGGTAGCCTGGAAATTTTAATTTTTATTATGTATATATCAATAATGATCATTTAAGAGGAAGGCATTTCTTCAAAGATGAGTCTTTGTTTTAGAGGACTGTTGTAAAAATTTTGAAACGTAACAGGATTATGAATAATTTCCGCCAAATTTAAGTAGTTCCAGGTGACCTACAGTATTAAAATGTTGAAACGTTTCAACTTGCTATATATGAAAGTGGAGACCTGGTATGGCACTGTAGGATAAGCACAGGACTGCTAACCTCAAGGTCGGCAGATCAAGCCCATGAAGCCACTCCTTGGAAACCCTGTACGGGGTCGCTGTGAATCGCACTTAACAACAGCATATATGAGGGTAGTCCAAAGTATTGATACAAAATAATAAAAACATTTATTAAAAAATAAAAGTGTGAAGCTATTGTTTCTTAAATCTATTTTCTGTTTAGATCTATACACTTCTAAA